AATACAGCATTTAAAAAAAAATGGGACTAACTACTTCATATGAAGTTGTACTTCAACCATTACATTATTTCTTTCCAAATTAAACATCCAAATAAAACAGAACTAACAAAGTCTACCAAATTTAACCAGGTTTTAGTAGAAAAATTTAATAAACCCAGAAATTCATAAAAGAAAAGATTTTAAAATTTCAAACAAAAATAAACATGATCAAATGGAAAGAAAAGTGAAATAAATCAATGTCAGTCATGAAGTATGAGTGTGCAACAGAAATCTACACCCAGGTTTTTGTACATACCTAGTCCTTAGACAAGCTACAAAGATTGGTTAGAAGCAACAAAACATGATTTCCAAGTAGTTGGCCAAACCCCTCAAAAAAACAACCTATTAAAAAAATGGGAAAGAATTATGTTTGGATAGTGTGCTTTCTTACAGTAAGGGTTTTCATATTTTATCAACCACTTAGAAGATAAGCCCAAAGTCTTATATGCCTCCCTCAATTATCCACTGTCTAGAACCTATGGAAAGATTCTTGGCAGAAATACCAGACCTTGTCACCTCTCCTGTAGAAGACGGAATGTTTGCCAGGCATGATGGCACATGCCTGTACTCCCAGCTACTTGGGAGGCTGAGGCAGAAGGATCAAAAGTTCAAGGCCAGCTTGGGCAAATTAATTAGACCCTGTCCGGAAAAAAAGAAAGAAATGGAATGGAATGCTTCCAGAAGTCACTGCAGGGACTTCTTTGACCTTTCATGATATTCTCTATAGTCTTCCATCTCAAATGTAGTTTTCTATCAGAGGATTTAAAACTATTATATTCCTCAAAATTATTTCTTTTATTGATACCTACATTATCAATAAGAGGACACTAAAAAGGGTACTGCACCATTCTAGATCTCAAACCAGAACTACTCTATGATTTCAAAACCTGATCCATAATTTAAAGTCCATTTCTAAAAATCCCATCAAAGATTGCTCTTGCAAGGTTTCCATAGTATTTATCCTAAAGGGTTCTAGATTTTTTTTTTTTACTTATCAGTTTCCAAAAATTAGAAATGAAAATAAGAAAGTGCCACTGAGAAAATCTTCAGACTGAATAAATGTAAATGTTACTGTTCATGGTAAAGGATTTTACACCCAGGTGTATATGTGTGATCCACCAATCCTGCTTGGATGCTGCATACAAAAGGTACTTCCAAGGCCAGGCACATTGTCGCATGCCTACAATCCTGTCTTGAGAGGCTGCAGCAAGACGACCACAAAAATCAAGGCTAGCTTTGGCAATCCATGAGACTATCTCAAAAGAAAAAGGGATAGGGGTCTAGTTTAATATCAGAGTACCCCTGGGTCCAATCCCCAGTACAGGGGCTGAGGGGATTAGTACTTCTGAATTCAAGGAAATAGTAATCCTTAACCATATGAATCCAACCAGATGATAATTTATTTAGAAACCAGGCACAAGGATGCACGCCTCTAATCCCAGCTACTCAGTAGGTGGGAGGATTGCTTGAGTCCAATTTAGACCAGACTAGACAATATACCAAGACACTGTCTCAAAACAAAACACAATAAAAAACTGGGGACTGAGGGAGTAATTCAGTAGTACAGCACTGGACTAGCATGCATGGGCCCAGCAATACTTTCAAAAACCACACACACACACACACACACACACACACACACACTCTCTCTCTCTCTCTCTCCATAAGAAACCTGCTAAATTGGTTTTAGTTCTTAAATGGTTATTCTGGTTGCAGCTTACTTTCATTCTGGTGTTGTCACAGAAGCAGCCATTTTTATCCTTATCAACATCCTGGTTTTCTAACAATACAGGATTCCAAAAAACTGTAAATTAGTTCTATTTTCTTTAACTTCTTTATTCCTAGTTTGATACTTCATGATCATGTTCTAAAAGTAATCTTGACTATAAAAAATTAAATATACAACAATAGTGTCAAATTTCCAGAAAAATCTAATGCTAGACCAGTAGATAATAATTTCATAATTAAAAAAACAGTTGGCCCAACTTGCAAATAACAAAGAATGATTTAGTTTGGAGAAATACTTTTCAAAGTTTAATCAGAGCTACTCTAAGCTAGAAAACCTTAAATTAAAATAGCTATCACTACTAAGATTTTGTGAAGGTGAAGAGAAACAGGTAGCCTGAAAGAGGACCCTTCATTAAAAGCAAGCTCACAGAGGGAAAAAGCAGGGACAGGAAAGGGAAATTCACTGCAGTACTGGTGACCTCAACCCCTTTATGAAAGCACATGTTCTCTTTTGGTGTTATAATATTCTGATTCACATTGAATATATTCAAAAACCATATGAAAGGCCAACTAAAAATGTTTAAACGAAAGAAAAATATGAGATTGAGTTAAATGATAAAATGAATTTAAAAAAAAAAAATAAATAAATAAAACCTTAGATGACCTTCATAAAAAATACTAAAATTAAAAAAATTCATCATACACATTGTGCTCACAAAGGGAAAGGAGGATCCATCAAGCCCTGCAGAGCACAAGAAGCAGATGGTTTACTCAGGCATCAGCAGAAATAGGACCCGGAGAACTACCCTCAGATTCTTCTACATGGTGTCCAGGAAGGAAAAGCAAAGCTGCAATATGCTGAAGGTTTTAGAAGTATAACGGTGCTTAGGAAAGATCACTGGTCTGGTGTTGCAGCAGCCCCAGTGTTGACAGACACTCTAGGCTTCTAGGAGGAGAAAAATAGAAAGGGAGGAAGAAGTAGGAGGGGGAAGGAAAAGGATGGAAAAGCACAGATCATTAGTAAACAGCAAGTTCAACATAGCAAGATGCTCATAACCTCTTTATATTATTAGTAGAGCTGGTGTGCTCTCAGAACTACAAATAATATTCTGAGGGAAATCAAATAGGAATTTTCAAAATGGCACTGAGCTAGGTGCTCTAATTAGTGATTGGCAAAATTAGTATCAAGTCACAACATGCTCCCAAAGCATGCACTATTCACCCCTCCTTATTTATCCCTCCCCAGTCAAACATGCATATTTTCAGTAAAATACCTGCTTTAATACAGTCACAAAATAAAATTCAGAATCCAAACAACCCAAATCTACTTAAGGGTGGAGAGAGCTCCAAGAGCTGAAAGAACTGCTCTCACAATGCCACTGGGCAGTTCATTTAACAGATTACTTTGTTTTTGTAGTCAGGGAACTAAAAGTTGAAATGGTAAGGGTCAAGCTGCTAGGTTTTTTACCCTCCCTACACTATTAAGACTGAGCAGTAGGGAGACTACTGCTCAGTCTTAATAGTGTAGTGGGGTAAAAGAGACTGAGTCTCCTCTGGTCAGATTTGACATCCTGCTGGAAGAAACCCAGCCTAGTTTTGATAATTGTTTCTTTTCGGGTGAAAATGACATCCACTCTTTCCAACTGGCTAGTCAAACTGATCCCCTCCAGCCTATCTTCCCCTGGCACTGTCTCCTGGTTAAAGAAAGCTGAATTTACTCATTTTTTAAAAGTTCATATTCAAGCTTCTTCATTAATCACGGGTGTTATATATTTGCATAAATACTTTCTTAAAATAAAATCACATAGATAACTCTGCTTTCAAAGCAGATACAGAAATATTCAATATTGCATATGACTACAATTATCAAAAAAAATACAAAAAAGTCAGTTCACAAAACTGTAAGGTAAAATGGCACTTCTGATTGTTTCTAGTTTGTAAAATAAAGAGTAATTTATGAGGTGCTAGTGAGAATGTTAATGTCACTGGGTAAAATCAACATTCACAACAAATAGGACCTAGTCATCGATAACTCTGAGTAATGTGTATGTATGTATACTCTGTGTATACATTCTTAAGGTCATAAAATAACAAGTAAATCCTGGAATAACTACTATTGCTAAAAGAAGGCTGAGGCAGTCATCCCAAAAGAAAAACAAAACAAATAAAATAAATGGCTAGTGCTTGACTCCACTGCATTAATGTGAATCAAATTTTGTACCTCAGAGTTAAGAGCACACACTGCTATGTGTAAGAGCAATGTGCTTGAGCACTGGAAGTCAAATCACATAGGCCAACAGTATCAGCCTCATCATAACTGCAAATTAAGTATAGTTATTTATAAAAATATAATACATTAACTCTCATGTAGGCTCCTAAGAAAAGACTTACATTCTATATCTCCTCAGGGATAGACTTCTGCTAGAGTTTGAGAATTTTCCTTTACTATACTGAGGGGCTCCAGGTTAATGTTGGTTATGAAGCAAAAACCCATAGGAATGTGGTTGGTGCTAGCTGAAAGAATATCAAAGCCCCAGCAGTAGGCTAGGAGTTAAAATTAGGAGTAAATTTCAAAAGCAACAGTTAAGGGAAAGACAAAGAAAAAAACAGGGCAAAAGACAAAGAAAACACTTGTAATTTACCGCTCACAGGGTTCCTAATACTGTGTTTTGGAAATTTTAAAGTAAGTGTAGGGAAGAGACCTGACTTAGTTGTACAGGCCAAAAGCTTTCCATATAACATAAACTGATGATGAAAGAGTATTTTTAAGATGGATCCAATTCTTTCTTTCTTTCTTTTTTTCATAATGGGAATTGAACACAGAGGCACTTAACCACTGAGCCACATCCCCTGTCCTTTTTATTTTTTATTTTGAGACAGGGACTCACTAAATAATTTAGGGCCTTGCTAAGTTGCTAAGGCTGATCTTACTTGTAATCCTCCGATCTAAGCCTCCCAAGTTGCTGGGATTACAGGCGTGCACTACCACACCCAGCAAGATGAATCCAATTCTTAAGTGGTACAGTTCCAACAAATATTCAAAGAATATCAAAGGAAATTCATTCTTCTCTTTCCATTGTTAGACATTTTATATGGAAGATCTTCTGATGCCCAACAAAAATGATACCCTCAGAAAAATATGCTCCACTAACAATTCTCCTCAAAAAAGTTTACCAAGGTGTACACTGTGAATATTTCACTTACACATTTGGAGAATCCTTGGAATCACTTACCTGTAGTGTCATTCCCTTCTATTCCATGGTCACCATTGGCTAACACTGTTGGTTTAGAAGATGGAGTACCTACAACAATTACAAAGAATAATTACCCACTAACAAACAGAAAAATGAAAAACAGACCCAATTACTATTTTACTAGTGGAATTTTTGTCAGTCTTTAACATTAGATTAAAGTACATAAAACTGTCCAAAATTTAATGCTTCAGTATAAAGAAACCTGGAAACAGAATAGAATCATTCATTCTTCCCCTATTCAAATTATTAAGTACTAACCCTACAGAAAAGGCCTAAAAAGCAAGCCTTTTTTTTGTTCCATTAACGATCAAAAGCAAACATTAAATTCAGTAAAACCATCATGACCACAGGGTTATAATCTGTGGTTCAAATCAAATGCTCTGAGGACACAGGACCACTTAAAACAGTTCCCACTCAGAAATCTAGGGTACCATTCATTGCTCCTGAACATAAGGGCTACATAGCAGTCTCTAACATCACTTTTAGAAACAAAGCCTTATTTTTCTTCTTTGTAAGTTAACTAAGGATATTGAGCATCTTTTCATGTGTTTGTCTGCCACTCTATTATCTTCTTCAGAAAACAGAATGGTCATATTTTTTAACTGGATTGCTTAAGTTTTTATTAGTGAGTCTTGATAATTCTTTATATATTCTGAATATCAATCCTTTAAGTTTTGTAAAATATTGTTTCCTAGTCTTTAACTTATACTTTGATTTTAATTATACTCTTCAAAGAGCAAAAATCTTAAATTTTGGTAAGTCTAATTTATCATATTATCTTTCATGGATTGTTCTTTTGATAGTTATCTTAGAAATTTGCTTAACCCAAGGTCACAGGAATTTTTTTCTCCTAAAAGTTTCATACCTTTCATACTTAAGTTTCACATTAAGGCCTATTGATACCTTCAGAGTTAAAGTTTATATGAAGTATAAGATGTGGGTCTAGTTTTGTATTTTTATATATGGGTACTTAATTGTTCAGCATCATTTGTTGAAAAGACAATCCTTATTCTACTGAATTCCAAGGGTAAAAATGCAACATTGTTAAAAAAAAAAAAAAAAAAACCGATTAAGCATATTATATGTGCTGCTATTTCTAGGCTATTTATTTATTTATTATATGTAGATACAGGGTCTCACTGAGTTGCTTAGTGCCTCGCCCTTGCTGAGGCTGGCTTTTATGCTGAGCCACTAGGATTACAGACATGCATCAACATGCCCAGCTGGGCTTTCTATTTTATTCTTTTCCATTGATTTTTTTAAAAAATATGTAACAGTGGAATGCATTACAATTCTTATTACATATATAGAGCACAACTTTTCATATCTCTGGTTGTATATATATTCACACCAATTCATGTCTTCATACATGTACTTTGAATACTAATAATCATCACATTCAACCATCATTAATTACCCCATGCCCCCTCCCTTCCCCTCCCAGCCCTGTGCCCTATCTAGAGTTCGTCTATTCCTCTCATGCTCCCTCTCCTTATCACTACGAATCAGCCTCCTTATATCAAAGAAAACATTCGGCATTTGGTTTTGGGGGGTTGGCTAACTTCACTTAGCATTATCTTCTTTAACTCCATCCATTTACCTGCAAATGCCTTGATTTTATTCTCTTTTATTGCTGAGTAATATTCCATTGTGTATATATGCCACATTTTTTTTATCCATTCAGCTATTGAAGAGCATCTAGGTTGGTTCCACAGTTTAGCTGCTGTGAATTGTGCTGCTATAAACATTAAGGTGGCTGTGTCCCTGTAGTATGCTGTTTTTAAGTCCTTTGGGTATAGACCAAGGAGAGGGATAGCTGGGTCAAATGGTGGTTCCATTCCCAATTTTCCAAGAAATCTCCATGATGCTTTCCATATTGGCTGCACCAATTTGCAGGCCCACCAGCAGTATATGAGTGTACTTTTTTCCCCCCTATCCTCACCAACACTTATTGTTGTTTGTCTTCATAATAGCTGACATTCTGACTGGAATGAGATGAAATCTTAGAGTGGTTTTGATTTGCATATCTCTAATTGCTAGTGATGGTGAACAGTTTTTCATGTGTTTGTTGATTGATTGTACATAATCTTCTGAGAAGTGTCTCTTCAGGTCCTTGGCCCATTTATTGATTGGGTTATTTGTTTTATTGGTGTCTAGTTTTTTGAGTTCTTTATATACCCTAGTGATTAGTGTTCTATCTGATCTGTGAGGGGAACATTTGCTCCCAAGATGTAGACTCTCTTTTCACCTCACAGATTGGTTCTTTTGCTGAGAAGAAACTTTTTAGTTTGAGTCCATCCCATTTATTGATTCTTGATTTTAATTCTTGTGCCACAGGAGTCTTATTAAGGAAGTTGGGGCCTAATCCCACATGATGAAGATTAGGGTCTACTTTTTCTTCTATTAGACACAGGGTCTCTGGTTGTATTCCTAAGTCCTTGATCCATTTTGAGTTGAGTTTTGTGCATGGTGAGAGATAGGGGTTTAATTTCATTTTGTTGCATACGGATTTCCAGTTTTCCCAGCACCATTTGTTGAAGAGGCTATCTTTTCTACAATGCATGTTCTTGGCACCTTTGTCTAATATAAGATAATTGTAGTTTTCTGGATTCGTCTCTTTGTCCCCTATTCTGTACCATTGGTCTAAAAGCCTGTTTTGGTACCAATACCATGCTGTTTTTGTTACTATTGCTCTGTAGTATAGTTTAAGGTCTGGTATAGTGATGTCACCTGCTTCACTTTTCCTGCTAAGGATTGCTTCAGCTATTCTAAGTCTCTTATTTTTCCACTGATCTTTAAGTCTATACATTTTGCCAAGACAACTGCTTAATTACACTATTTGAGTAGTAAGTCTTTTGGGGGTAGGGAGCAGGGGTTGTACTAGAGATTGAACCCAGCACCTCACCTATGCTAGCTAGGTAAGAGCTCTATCCCAGACCTACATCCCAGCCTTTTTTATTTTGAGATAGGGTCTCACTAAATTGTCCAGGCTGGTCTCCTGGAATTACAGGTGTGTGCCTCTATGTGTGATTTGTACAGTAAGTCTAAAAATAATATGATGTGGGGCTGGGGCTCAGTGATAGTGCACCTCCCTGGCATGTATGAGGCACTGGTTTGATTCTCAGCACCACGTATAAATAAATAAAATAAAGGTCTATCAACAATTAAAAAAAAATAAGGTAATGTGAGTCCTCCAACTCGGGTCCTTTCCAAATTGTTTTTTGTCCCTTTGCTTTTCCATATAAATTTTAGGACCAATTGCAGATTTATTTTTTAAAAATCTTGATGAGATCTTATCTCAAATGCACTAAATATATAGATCAATTCAGGGAATGCACCACCTTTTCTGAAAGGCTTTGACTATGTATAACATTTCAACAATCTGCTAACTCTGCAATACGTATCGTATGTATCATTCTCAAGATCCTCAGACACATTTCTTTTAAGTGAAAATCTAGGATTTGTACCACTAAAATATAAAATGCAAGACTTTACTTTGGAAGATAACAAATGAATACTAATTCGCTGACCCTCACTAATCCAAGATAGAAATCCTTTACATAACCTTCTCAGTGAGAAGACCATTCATTCTGTAATCTCAGGAGCAACCAACAAGAACCACTTAAAAAAACAAGATAGACCAAATAAAGAATATCAATTTAACTGGAAGAACTGGGAGATAAAAGTGAAAGATAAATCAGGTATGATGGCACCCACCTGTGTTTCCAGGGATGTGAGAAGCTGAGGCAGAAATGGGATCTCACATTCAAGCTGGCCTGGGTAACTTAATTAGACCCCTCTCAGAAAGGAAGTATACAAGAAGCCCTAGACTGGACCACGTAGGCACAGAGGAGAAGACCATAAAACGACCGCACTGCGGCCCCCATCTACCAATGCATTGATGTCCCAGCCCACTTCCATCTTGGGACACTGCAGCCACCTCCATACCATTCCCGACGTGTTAGCCTCTACCTTGGGGCAACAGACAGCACCTGAAGGCAGCAACCCTCTGTAGCACTGCATCTCTGAACACCATCACACAGCCTGCCCTCTCAGCCCCATCTCTGAAAGCGGTCACCTCCATCTTAGGAACACCTCCGCTGCCGCAATCACCATCTTTAGTTGGGGCAGCTTCCAGCATAGGACACCGGCTAGGCCCTGGAAGCCTAACATCAATGTAACTATAGGTTTGACACTGTCACTACCAACAACTAGGAACATGCTTGCATCCATCTAGAGACAACAACGAGGACCTGGAAGACCATCACGAAGGTCCCTGCAGGCTTGGTTACACTAGAGGTATCCCTGCTAGCCTATTTCTCTTGATTCCTCTTTCACTCTTCTTATGATCTAATACCTCTATATTCTCACCTCCTACATCATAAACCCCACATCCTATACCCCACCACACACTCTTTTTGTCCACCGTTAGAAACTGTAGGCCCCTACGGAAATCTACTATATATATAAATAGTAGACATCATTTCTGTTTATTGCAACACAACTGTAATTGTCTAAATAAGAGATAAATGGTTTACAGGTGAATACTGTTTGCATTGGGTGCTGTAAATATTGATCTCCCCCTTAAAGGTGCGATATTGGTTACCTGCAGGGACAGTACAAGATTATAGGGTAGAAACTATAATAACTTGGATCTGCACTGCTAGAGAGGATGACACATGGACAACATGAAAAATTCAGGGAAGAAAGTGCCCCAAACAAACCAAGATGGTACAATAATAGAATCCATTGACAGCACAATAGATCAAATATCAGAGAAGGAGTTCAGAATGTACAGAATTAAAATGATCTGCAAAGCAAGTAATGATATAAGAGAGCAAATACAGGCAACAATTAATTGCTCTAACAAAGATAAGAGAGCAAATTCAAGTAACAAAAGATTACTTCAAGAAAGAGAGATTCTGAAAATAAACCAAACAGAAATCCTTGAAGTGAAGGAAACAATAAACCAAATTAAAAAGTCAATAGATGGGCTGGGGATGTGGCTCAAGCGGTAACACGCTTGCCTGGCATGTGCGGGGCACTGG